TCAGCTGTTACAAATGCCACACAGGACTTTAGAGCTGAAAAGGAGCTTAAGATTATTAGCCTACCTTCCTCACTTTGTAAGGCAGGAGAACAACCCCCCAGGGAGTAAGAGACTAGCTTGGGGGCCGTGTAAGTAATCACCGGAAGAACCAGAGCTTGCCACACAACCACTAAGAAGGTTGAATGGCCAGACGCTCTTAGGGGAAGATGAGCACATGTTCACTTCAGGGCCATGAATAGGATGTTGAGCCATCATCATCCTATGTTTTCTCATCGAGAAAATTATTGCTGGAAGCCGCAGTGGTCCCCAGGAGGATGCTGCTTCTATATCCTTATTTAGTAATACAAAGTCATGTCCTCTTCTGGCACATTCAGTAGCTAAAACCTTTTGCTTAACCTATGGGCAAAGAAGGTTCTGAAGAGGCCCCACCTTCCATGAAGACTCTGTGAGAACTGCTGATAGATCTGTGACTCCCACTCCTCCACTCTGCCTTCTCTGAGGGGAAGACACAAAAGCTGGCTTAGTCCTTAGGAAGTCTTCAGAAGGCAAGACAGGGGGCTACCTGAATGATTTCTGTGCACAAGCCCTCTACATTATTAAACAAATCCAACGGGCATGGCTTCTTTCCTTAGGGCAGAGTAAACTATGTACACTCACAGGGGTGTCCAGCCCATGGCCCGCGGGCCCTTATGCAGCTCAGGATGGCCATGAATGCGGCTCAACACAAAATTGTAAATATGCCCTGACTTGTGTGGCTCAGTGGATTGAACACCGGCCTGTGAATCAAGTGGTCACTAGTTCAGTTCCCAGTCAGGGCACGTGCCTGGGTTGTGGACCAGGTCGCCAGTAGGGGGCACTTAAGAGACAACCACACATTGATACTTCTCTTCCTTTCTCCTCTCTAAGAATAAATAAAATCTTAGAAAAGAATAAAAGAGAATCTCCCTTTCTCCTTTCCCCTCTCTAAGAATAAATAAAATAAATAAAAAACTATGATAGTAAAGTACATGTAAACAAAAATCAATGACTTTTTAAAAATATATGTATAAATTTACTTAAAACATGAGATTGTGTGTGTGTGTGTGTGTGTGTGTGATTGCGTGTCTCAGTGTATTCAATGTGTGGCCTAAGACAACTCCTCCTCTTCCTGTGTGGCCCAGAGACACCAGAAGGTTGGACACCCCTGGAGAGGAAGGAATGGCAACCGTGCCATCTTAGTTTCATCCTCTTTGGGGCAGGGTGGCGGGTTCTTACCCCAGCTACCCCTGCCACTGCTGTACATCAATGTACAGGTGAAGGCATTGCCCAGGTGTGAACCCAGGGTCTTTATGTGGTCCTCAGAGCTGCTAAAGGTGGCAATTTGCAAAGGAACTTTAAAAAAACAAAAAAAAGCAAATGTAGAGTTACCTGGCACATGTTAAATGGCTGTCACACTGAATGTGGGGAATGTGTTTTCACTTCTAACCCAGAAAAAATATGAGATGACAATTGCTACCTAGCTGTGGCGACCATGGAAGTTAATTCAGAAGCCAAGGCAGTGGGACAGGTGGGCACAGCAAAATAACAGCCATGAGGGGAGCAGAAAATGTCAGAGGAGAAGCCACTGTTACTTCTGGAAAGAGAAGTTCACAGGCAACTTTCATTTGCATTTCTTAACAAAATTGTCCTCACTTATAGTCACCAATGCAAGGTGACAGATTATAGAGCTGATGGCATGTATAGTCTTTTCTCAGGAATGTACTAGCCCCTTATCAAATGTATCTTTGGCGAATATCTTCTCTGATTCGGTAGATTGTCTTTTCATTTTGTTAATGGTTTCCTTTGCTGTGCAAAAACTTTATAGTTTGATGTAGTTCCATTTGTTTATTTGTTCTTTTGTTTCCCTTGCCTGAGGAGATAATATCAGAAAAAAAATTGCTAAGAGAAGTGTTAGATTTTACAGCCTATATTTTCTTCTAAGGAGTTATATGGTTTTGAATTTTATATTTAAGTCTTTATGCTGTTCTTAAGGAAAACCTAATAAAAGATTTTTAAGAACTTTTAAGATTGATAGGCCTCTATTTGATAATCTGTATCTTAGTCTGTTTAGGCTGCTATAACAAAATTCCGTAGACTGAGTGGCATATGGACAAGAGAAGTTTGTTTTTCATAGTGTTGAGTTGAGGGCTGGAAAGTTCAAGACCACAGCACCAGCAGATTCAGTGTCTAGTGAAGACCCACTTCCTGGTGCAGAGCTGGCCACCTTCTCTCTGTGTCCTCACATAATGGCTGAAGGATCACTTTTGGGGTCTCTTTTACAAGGCCACTAATCTCATTTACGAGGGCTCAACTCTCATGTCCTAGTCACCTTCCAAAGGTTTTGCCTCCAAGTGCCACCACTGTGAGGAATAGGATTTCAACATGCGAGTTTTGGAGGGGACATGAAAACATTTGGTCTATAGCAATGCATATGTGAAATTTTGACTGTATAGAGCCAGGGGGGAAGCTCGTGTTGTATCCAAAACATAATGTAGTGAAAGATCATCATTCACCACGTGACCACGGGCGTAGCTGCAGGCGTGTCTGAAACTGCAAAATGACAACTGCAGCAGCACTTCCTGTGGAGCCCTGTGACCTCCAGCACGATGAGTGTAAAATGTGACTTGCGCTGTGTGCCTGTCTACCTGGAAAGCTTTCAGTGGCCCGCTGCCGGCCAGGGGATGCGGTCGGACTTCTCCACAGGCATGAGAGCCCCTCCGAAACCCAGCCTGTGTGCTTCCATAGTGCCGGATCTCTCCTGTCTTTACCTTGCGCTTGGTGTGTGCTTCAGTTTTATTGCCATTTGCATTCCCTGCCACGCACTTCCCTGGTCCCTGCCCTGAGGCCCCTGTGTTCCTATTCCTCGCTTTTGCAGAAAACCTAAATGATTGTCTGGTTTCATATAGCAATAAAACCCTAGGCAAGCTTTTCTTACACAGTTACCAGCTCTTGGCTGCTCTAGTGTTCTTATCAGTGGGTGGAGAAGCATTTGCTTGCCCTCAAAAAAAAAAAAGGCCAAATAACCACCCCTTTGTCATTTGGTGTTTGTTCATTCGGCAAACATTGACTGAGTACCTGCTGCTGGTACTGGCGTTAGGAGATGAGAAACACAGGACCCGAGGCCCCAGGGACTTCCCATTCCGGCCGGGGTAGGCGGACCCAGAAGCAGGCAGCCGCAAAACCTTCCCGTGAGTGTTTCTGCTGGGGAGGGCCGGGAGTGCACAGGGCTGTAGAGTCACAGAGAAGGCTCGCTGACTTTCGCTTGGTGAAAGGCTTTGGGTGAGGCCCGTATTAAAGAGCTTACGGGAGGAGTTGGCGTTGGCTTGGTCGAAAAGAGGGTGCTGCAGATAAAGTAGTGGTGGTGAGCCTTTGTAGGAAAGGGCAAAGGGGATGCTTTCCTCCAGTCTCACTGAATTCTAGCTAGGGTAAAATAGCACTTAATTTTTTTTATTCTTCTAGGACTTCTATGTATGTTTTTTTAAATATATTTTATTGATTATGCCATTACAGTTTTTCTGTTCCCCCCTTCATTCCCCTCCACCCTGCATACCCCTCCCCCACCATCCCCCCCTTAGTTTATGACCACGTGTCTCAAGTTCTTTAGATTCTACATTTCCCCTACTATTCTTGCCCTCCCCCCTATCTATTTTCTACCTACTGTCTATGCTACTTATTTTCTGTACCTTCTCCCCGCTTCTCCTCCTCCCACTCCTCTGTTGCTAACCCTCCATGTGATCTTCATTTCTATGGTTCTGCTCCTGATCTAGCTGTCCTCTTAGTTTGCTTTTGTTTTAGGTGTGGTTGTTAATAACTGTGAGTTGGCTGTCCTTTCACTGTTCCTATTTTTTATCTTCATTTTCTTAGATAAGTCCCTTTAACATTTCATATAATAAGGGCTTGGTGATGATGAAGTCCTTGAATTTGATCTTATCTGAGAAGCACTTTATCTGTCCTTCCATTCTAAATGAAAGCTTTGCTGGATAGAGCAATCTTGGTTGTAGGTCTTTGGATTTCATGACTTGGAATACTTCTTTCCAGCCCCTTCTTGCCTGTAAGGTCTCTTTTGAGAAATCAGCTGACAGTCTGATGGGAACTCCTTTGTGGGTAACTGCTTCTATGTATGTTTTAAAGTATTATCAACTTTGCCAGAATCTAGTTACTGAGTAGAAATTGCCTGCATCTATTGAGTTGTTACAATGATTGTGAGATGACTTGAAATGTTTCATCTTAAAAGCATTTAAATTTGTGAATATAAATTCAGATTAGTGAGAAGAGTAAGATGATCATAGTAAGTTAAATAATTGTGACAGTTTCCTTTTTAAACCTCATCGTTCATCCTTTTTCTGTCTTCTCCAAATAGGAAAGAAAATAAAGGATTAAATATGCATGCTTAATTTTTAAAATATATTTGAACTGACCTCTTTCTTATTAGTGTTGTATAAAACTGTAATGTAAACCAATTTAAAATTTTTTGTTATTTTTGGACGTAGTCATATGGAATGGGAGGAAATTAAATAAGTTGAACATGTGTGGGGGAAAGGCAAACAAAAATTGAAAATTGATGTCGTTGTTTTTGAAATAGGTCTGTGTTTACGTGACTATTAAATTTAGCACAGATGTTAAATATGGGGATTTTTTATTATGAAAGAAACAAGAACACCAACAAGGAGACGCATGTCACATATAACAGACTTTAGATTATGGAATAGTTATGAAATGTGGTTTTGGTCTAGAATCTTTTAGGGTGTCCAACCTTTTGGCGTTTCTGGACCACACTGAAAGAAGAAAAGTTGTCTTGGGCCACACATTAAATACACAAACACTAACGGACACTGAGGAGGAGAGAAAAGGTTTTTAAGTAAATTTACAATTTTGTGTTGGGCCGCATTCATAGCCATCCTCATGGGCCACGGGTTGGACACCGCTGCCACATAATAAAATGAAGCATTTCTCATCAAGTAAGAGGACTCTCTCTCTTTAAGGATATGAGAAGACTGATGATGTTTCAGAGAAGACCTCACTGGCAGACCAGGAAGAAATACGGACTATATTCATCAACCAGCCCCAGCTGACGAAATTCTGCAACAACCATGTCAGGTAGGAACTGCTGAAGGACGCGTGGGGCCAGTTCTCCCAGCCGAGCCCTAAGGCCATCTTCCAGCCACAGTGAAAATGCTCGCTCAGAGCTTTGAGTTAAACCAGTTGGGAGAGCTTACTGGAGGCAGTGTGAATCAGCTACTTCTCCAACTAGCCAATAAGGAGATGTTAGTAAGAATCTGGAAGCAGGAAGAGGCGGAAAGGATAAGTAGCTGCTCACAGGCAAATGCCTTTGTCTTAAGGCTGTTATGGAATGGTAGGTTATTGTTTGAGTTTACACACTTTTTACATTTTAGAAGAGGTCTTTACAGTTATTCACTGAGAACTCCTTTTGGTTAAATAATCTTTAAATATTGGCTTTTGATGCTTGCGGAATTTTGTGTGGTGACAAGGAATGGAAGGCTGTGAGAATTACTTCATTGTTCCATTTTCATTCCAGCGATAATATAAAAAGTGTCTCTGGCACAGGCCCTCTTCATAAGTGGCCTCTGGAAGCAAGTGACACCCTGGTGCCCGCCCAGTGTTTCTCCAGGGGCAGAATTTGTAGAGTTGAGACATGTCCATTTAAAATGAATATTTATAACTTCAAAATCAAGAGTAACATTTCACAGCCTGGGGGTGTGGTGTGTGTCCCTTTAATTTCCTCCCTGTTGATTGACAAGAGATCCATGTTCCCAAGACCCAAATGGTGTTGTCTGGCTACGTCTGCCGTCTGCCGTGATGGGTGCGGAGGCCTAGCCAGGTTCGTAGAGGGACCGCAGAGAAAAGTCAAACAGAAACCCAGACAGCTCGCCATTTCTCTGAAGTTATCCAAGGAAAGCGTCTCTATGTAAAGTTTCTGGTCCTGCTCAAATTGCTGATTTCATTTTCCCAAGATTTTATTTTCCATTAACGTATTATAAATGACCTTAACCAAAGTTGTTTTCTGTTGTAAGCTACTCCCAGGTATGTGAAACTGGATGATTGACCAATGAGAACAAAAGCTATGAAACAGAGACCTAAAGCCTTCCTATTACTGATACAGTTCCTTTCACTCCTTTTCATTTAGGTTAATGACCATTGGTAATATTCTCCCAATTTGAAACAGAAGGCAGATGTTCGTTGTCTGATTTTTTATATGGTGATAACAGAATTTTGTCAGCATTGGAGCTAATTGCAGAGTAATTTTTACACAACTTTTCATTTTCTTTTCTAGCACTGCAAAGTACAACATAATCACCTTCCTCCCACGATTTCTCTACTCTCAGTTCAGAAGAGCCGCCAATTCATTTTTCCTCTTTATTGCACTGCTTCAGGTAAAGTTATTTCATAAAGTCTTAGTTCAACATCACATGTCCCGCTATTTAAAAATGCCCGTGACCAAGCCTTTGAACCTTATCCCAACACAGAGAAATCAGCCAGTTTGGGTGGACATTTCTGGCCCCTGCTATGAGCAGTGTTAGAATTTCACTGCCTCTTTATGCCTTCTGATTCATTTTTATCAGCTTAACCTTAAATGTTTTGTAAATTCTATGTGGCAAGGACTATTCATTTAGGTGCTAAAGGAGATGGGACTTTTTCTTATAATATTAATTTATTGTAGTAACAACAAAGCTGTCATTTTGGAACCTTAGAATACAAGAATTACCATTGTAAGCTTGTTTCTCTTTGTATTTGAGTTAGTTATAGTCAGAAAAAGTTTTGTTATATTAAAAAAATAGCGTACACTCATTGTAAAAAGAATTAGAAAACACAACAAAATATAAAGAAAATATTTACGACTCATTCAGCCACCCAGAAACAAGTACTCTCTTAAAATCTGGGTGTACCTCCTTCTGCTCTGTTTTTACTTTCCTGAGCATTATTTAGTTTACAAAAAGGGGGTCGTAGAGTACATATGTTTAATAATCCATGTAGTATCATGTGGATATTTTCCTATGTGATTTATCATGTATCTAAACTATCATTCTTAATGGTCATGTGATATTGTATTGTATGGGTCTGCTGTAATTTATTTAACCCATCCCCCTTTGTAGGAGTTAGTTCAACTTGCAACTGCTTGCTGTGAAGCTAATTAACACACTGTCCCAGCTACTTATTAGATATGAGCAGATCACCTTACCTGGTGTTAGTCTACCAAGGTGGTAAAATCAAGGAAGCATATTTTAAAAGGCCCTAAGATTCTGTTGTTTTTAAATGTATCATCAACTTGCTAGTTCTCACTGGATTTCTCTTTTTTTTCCCCCTTCAAATAGCAAATACCTGATGTATCGCCAACTGGTCGCTACACGACACTGGTTCCTCTCTTATTTATTTTAGCTGTGGCAGCTATCAAAGAGATAATAGAAGACATTGTAAGTACTTAATTCTTTTTTTAAAGATGTTTATTTATTTATCTTTAGAGGGGAAGGGAAGGAGAGAGGGAGAGAAATATCAATGTATGGTTGCCTCTCATATGTTCCCTGCCAGGAACTGGCCTGCAACCCAGGCTGCAACTCAATCCACTGAGCTACACCAGCCAGGGCCTTAATTCTTTCATGAATAAATGTGATTGTTATTTTTATATACAAATTTTAAAACATTATTTAAGTATTTTGATTCTTGGCACAGGCTACTTGAGGTGCCCATTCAACTTAAAAGCATACAGAATATACCCCCCACCCCGGAGTCAGTCTCTCTTCATTTCTATAGGATCAGCACTGCAAAATGCTCATTACCGTGTTTCCTCGTGTTTGTAGTTTATAAATGGAAGAAATGAATTCAAATTTAATAATTGGCTTAGAGAGAAAAATATATTTGACCATAATTTTTAATTAATTATGTTCAATTTTCAATTTGCACATTAATTTCACATTAAACGGAAACTCCAAAATATCTAAATGTAAGAGGCTTTATGGTGTTTTTTATTTTTTAATTTATATACCCTAGTTTTCACCTCATTAAATACCTATGATTCCTTTTCATCTTCGTTTAGTAGTTCTAAGTTTCCTTTTCTTTTGTTAAAAGAAAGTAACAGTAAATTTTCTATTTTTATTTTTCCGTAGTAGCAGAGAAAAGGGGAAGTCAATTTCCCCTTTATAAAGTACATTCCCCAAAATAAACTCAGGCTTTTCTTTTTCTTCTATTTTAACTGTTATTTTAACTACCTCAGTTGAGGAAACCAGTATTTTTTTCGATGCCCTTTAAATAATTTGCTCGTCAGAAATGACCTTTTGTGAAGCCTTAGGCAAGTCAGATGGTAAAGGGAGGAAAGGCTGAGCCATTCCGCAGAAAGCTCCAATTTAAAGTTGTACAAACATTACTATCATGGCCGTGTGGGGTCAGACTGGGATCTCACTGAGAACACACGAGCCATAGCACCACTGCGCCCATTAGGCATGGGTCAGCCGACCATTTACGTCATCGGTCTCAAAAACAACCAAGTGTCTGATAGTAGGAACAGCGGTTGCGGGTGCGTGCACACACTCGGGTATAAAGCATGCTGGCCGGAAATGGCATACTGTTGGGGACCACTCCCTGAAAGGTTCACGGGCTCCCTTCTCACGTGTACAGTTCCACAAGACTTACCAGCTTTTCAGTCACGGTTGGATTGAGCGCTCCGTCAGAATCGGCCTCTGTGACAGTGCTTTGTCTTTCTTTGCCTCTTATGCTTCTGTTTCTTTACTTAACCTAGTTTTCACCGAGCATCTGGTGCTTACTGGGCATTGTGCTATTGTTTCTTTTTTTATATTTTATTTATTTATCTTTAGAGGGGAAGGGAAGGAAGAGGAGAGAAACAACCTACCCCAGGTTGTGCTATTGTTTTTACAAATGCTTTTCTCATTTAATTCCTTCAATAACTTTGAAAGTTGGATATTAACCCCATTTTACAGGTAAGGAAGCTGAGGCTTGGCAAGGTCGTGCAACTCAGGAAATTGATATCATTTCTATCCCGTCCAGCGTGCTCTTCCCCCTTATTTCTGTGGCAAGTCACTAGCAATACTATTAATAATGATTAGTGAACTTTGGGTTCCATGTACTTGCTTTGTGTCCTTTACATTTATTAAATCTTCTAACAACCCTTTAAAGAACAAATGATATTATCCCCATTTTACAGATGAGGGTGAAGAGGCACAGAGTAGTAGGTAACTTGTCCAAGGTCACACAGCTATTCAAGTGGGGCTGTCAGAATTCAGACAAGGCTCCAGACCCCTTTCTTATAACCATTGCTCTATACTGCCTTTCCTATCTTTATCTTTTTTTTATTTAAAAACATTATTTATATTTATTTTTAGAGGGAAGGGAAGGGAGGAAGAAAGAGGAAAAACATTGATTGGTTGCCTTCTGAACACACCCAGACCAAGGACTGAACCTGCAACCAAGGCGTGTGCCCTGACTGGGAATCAAACTGGTGACCTTTTGGTTTGCAGGACCATATATGCACAACCAGATGAGCCGCACCAGCCAGGGCCTTTTGTTTTTACCTTTCCTTAGCAAAAGTATAAGCTTGCTAGCTATGATTTTACTACCCTTTTCTATGAAAATGCATGGTGACTAGAATGGTAGCCAAGAAGGGTTCTTTTTGATCTTGTTTTTCCTTTCTATTTTTTAAACAAAACCCCTTTTGGCATGGTGTAATAACTGGGTACTATTAGAACACAGCTAGCTAGACAGTTTCTGCAAGAAATAATATTAGTATTGCAGGGTAATAATAGTACCATTTGAAGTTCTTTTCTAATAAAATATGTGTTAAGAAATGAACTAAAAATGGTCTATAAGATTGGTTTAGCAAGAGGTTTGTGTCAAGGTATAAGGGGATGGAAAGTTTGAAATATTACTTCCTAGAAAAGAAAAAATCAAATAATAGATTAGATAGATGGACAAAGAATTAGATGGCAGGCCCTCAGTAGATGTGTACGAAAGTGCATTAGACTTTTGCTGCAGTAATAATCACGTCCCAGATGTCAGTGGCTCACACATGAGCTCGCTTTTCATGTCTCAGGCACACTGCAGGTTGGTGTTGGGGAGGGAAGAGCAGGCGGCACCCGTGTTCATATAGTTCGCTTGGGGATGCAGCTGAATCTAGGCTTTGCCATGTGGAATGTTGTCTCACAGGACCGAGGAAAGAAAGAATGGAGATCTCATTTTTTCCTTGTTTTGGCCCAGAAATGGTGCATGTCACATCTGCCATCAGCCTAATATTAGAACTAGTGACATGCAGAAGGGAGGTATAATCTCCCAAGTTCATACAAGTAGAGAAAAACTGGATATTGATGAAGACTCATAATTGTGTGTACCATTCTTACATCAGTGAATAAAACAGAGCTTGCATTCTAGTGAAACTTCCTTCATATTCTGTTAAACAACAGGTTTTTTTAATTTTAGAATAAAGCACAGTACCAAAGGAGATACGACCTTACTTGAAAATGCTATAAAATTGATGGAGAGATCTTCATTTAATAAAAAAGGTGCTTCCTTTCGAATGCCAATTCTTATGGTCAGGGTCAAGGTTGTTTGTCTAATTAATAATATTCACCACTAGGCCCTGGCTGGTGTGGCTCAGTGGATTAAGCACCGGTCTACAAACCAAAGGTTCACCAGTTTGGTTCCCAGTCAGAGCACATGCCTGGGTTGTGGGCCAGGTCCCCAGTAGGGGGCACTTGAGAGACAACCACACATTGATACTTCTCTCCCTCTCTTTCTCCTTCTCTTCCCCCTCTCTAAAAATAAATAAATAAATAATTTTAAAAAATAATAATAATATTCACCACTAAAAATATGCCTTCTTTGCTATAAACTAGTTAACTTAAACACTGATAAGCTTTATTCATCATAAAACAAATACTTATTTAAAGTTTACAAGATTCAGAGATCAAATACCAGGTATATGCTGGTGAGTAAAAGCAACCCTGATGGAGCCTGCGGTCTAGTAAAGGAGACAGACATTAACAAGGTAGCCAGTCCAGCCAGTGTGAGAATTAAATGAGGCACATGAGGTCCTCAGACAGTGCCGAGTGTACAGTAAGTGCTGAGCATTTATTCTGTGTTGTCCTCATCCAAAGATCCCTTTGACTAAGATGTAGAAACTGGATTGGAAGGAAAACAGAGAGGATCTAGGTACACTTATTAGAAGAGTGTTCTAGTAGCAAGTATAAAAAGTGAAGATATTGTAGACTGCGTGGTATGGTAAAGATGGAGAAACATGGACAATTAATTCAATGTATAGTTAGGAGTAGACTTAATGAACACCACTTGACATGCTGCCTATCCTAGTTATTCTGTTCAGATTCTGTCTCTAACCGCTAGCATGTGAGCTCCAAGAGAGCAAGAGTGTTTGTCTCTTGTTCCTCGATGGGTCCCAGCTATAGTAGCAGGGCCTGACACTTATTAAGTGTTTAGTAAGCATTTATGTTTCAAATATAATCATACAATATATGGTTCTTTTTTCAGATTTTATTCATTTATTTTTAGAGAGAGGGAAAGGGAGGGAGAGACACATCAATGTGTTCTTGCCTCTCACACACCCACTACTGGGGACCTGGCCCACAACCCAGGCATGTGCCCTGACTGGGAATCGAACAGGTAACCCTCTGGTTCACAGGCTGAACTCAATCCACTGAGCCACATCAGCCAAGGCTAGTAAACATTTCTTGAGGGAAGAAATGAATTGGGATAAGAGGGAGAAGAGAGGGAGGAGGAAGGAGAGAGAGGGGGAAAAGGAAGTACAAGAACGACTGTCAGGTTCATGGTTTGTATGAGTAGATGGTATATGTTTTGTTGTCTGAAACAAGGACAAAGTCTTGGGGCTTAAAGTCATAGGTTGTTTTTAGATATAGTTTGAGATGCCCAAGGAGGCTACTAGATACATCTGTCTGGGGCTCACATGAAGAGTCTTGGCTGGTATATATGTATCAGTATCGGTTATTACTGGAATTGCGAGTATAAATGAACTAAGAGAGTACAGAGTGAGGCACAAAGAGGACAAGAGAATAAGCCCTCCAGAATTCTACCACTGAATTGCCAGCAAGGAGACAAAGAAGAAAGGGCCCGGGTGCAGGGACACCTGGGTAATGGTGCAACAAGAACTGCCTAGGGAGGGAGGGGTTCGCAGAAGGAGGATTGGTCAGTATTGCAGACTTCAGTATTCTAAAGTTCATGGAACTATTCAAATAGCACAGCTTCTTGGTGCACTGTCAACCAAATATTGAAAATATTAAATAATTCACTAGCTCTCAGTGGTATTAATGAATTCTGGTCACAGGACAGTGCGGGTATTTGAACTCAGAGAAAAACTATATTAATTTTTCTGAACTACTAATTTAAAAGGAGTAATGATCTTTTTAGTCCACAAAAATGCTTTTTTTTTTTGGAATCATAAGATTAGAATCTGCCTGTCTGGGCGGGTCCTTATGTGTATTCAGCACAGTTGTCTTGACAAGTAACCTAGTTTACTGAGGTGGAAAGGTTGAGGAAAGAGATGCTTTCGTACAAGAATTCTCTGTACATGGAAAGAAATGTTCAGGAACTCCTAAGGTTTCACTAAGATTAAATTTCCCGTAGAAACGGAATGTTTCATTAATTAGCTTTTCTTTGTCTCCTTCAGCTGAAAGTCTAACTATTATATATTGTAGATGTGCACTGTTTTGGAAACAGTTTGCACCAGCTCTGAATACCTAATTTTACCTTGAATCATTATTTCAGCTTAAATGTATCAGTGGTTACTTTTGATTTTAAGATCGTTATTAACAAACAAAAATGAGTAAGCATTTTAGAGTGTTATCAGTTTGTAAAATATGCTCTGCCAAAGCTTCAAATTTAACAGAACTTTAAACAAATTCGGTTAAGGATATTTGCTGGCAAATCATGTGCTTTCTTTTGGGAGCACTGTCTTGCCTATTAAAAGTCTCCATTCTTATGCTTTTATTAGCGAGAGTTTTATTCTGACAAAGAACTGTAGTGTGTTCCTGCATGTGGATGTGGCAAGAACTGTTTTCAAACGAGCCCCCCTCAGGAGCGTTCTGAAGGCTCATTTGCATTTTGTGCGGTTCTGGGGCGGACTGTTGAGAGGAAGTGAGGGGCCAGCCAGTAGGCCACTCCTCCTGCCTGCTGCTGTGTCTCGCAGGAGTGAGTGCTAATCCACGGCTCCAGGCTTTTCTCTTAGAAAAAAGTGTTTTCGTATGTGCATTGTGGTCTTAGAAACCCCATTTCTTCTCAGTGGAAAACTTCAGAACTCGTTTGCTTTGCATTTGTTCCGTCTTACCTAACAGAAGTCAGGTATGTGCAGCTAAATCTGATCATGGGTTTTATATGATAAACTCTTCCAGCACCAAGTGCATTGCACTCAACACTTTTCTCCGATGTCACCAGAGGCTGAAGTGTTTGTCACATGCAATGCTGTAAGTTTAGATGAATGTCATGGAAAACCTCTAGTTTCCCCTGGTCACTCAGATTCTCTCCTTCCCTCTGATCTCTTGTTTTTTTTCTTACTGCTCTAAAACCTGTGCTTATGTAACTCTTCCAACGTACCCACCTAGACACAGACTAGCTCACCTGTTTACTCTTTGTTTATTAATTTATTTCAGTGCTTTTAAGAGGAAGGAGAGTAGGATCCTGTGATCAGTGGCTTGTGATTTGGGGGGATGGTGGCTCTTGGGGAGCAGGAGATGGAAGAGGCTTTATGCAAGCAGCAGAGGTATTAGTTTCTAGTCTCTGACAGACATCCTCAGTCGTTAAATTATAGAAGATATACTCAGCTTAATTAGATAATCAATTTCATAATTTGAAAATATCTCTGTGCCATTATTAAATGGTAGTTATAATAATTATCTTAGGCAGTCTTTTCTAAGTGAGTTATTTAAGCAAAAGACTAGGTGAGTCTTTCAGCTTCAACTTTTCTAATGCATTAAAATTTCAGTTTTACCTACATGATCTTCCCAGGACCACACACCTGTTCTCCCAGGAAACGCCTGTTGTTCAAGATACTATGGATTGCACTCAGTTTTCAAATTCCTGAGCAGGAGAGGATAAAAGCCTTGAGAAACATGTGTCAAAGAAATCTCTTTTTTTGTGTGTGTGGGTGCTATTTTATTTGATTCATCTTATTCACTTTTTCACAGTTTTTGTTTTTGCTTTTAAACTTTAGAAACGACATAAAGCTGATAATGCAGTGAACAAGAAACAGACACAAGGTAGGAACCTTACAGTTTACTTCTCGCATCTGTCAAACGCACTCCCAGTAATATAAATGATCACTTCAGTTCGATGTAATTCCATTGAAAACACCGTATATCTCTGAAGTTTTTGTTCCATGCAGATTCTTGCTTTGCAGCATTATTAGCATGATACTTCAATTTGCATTAGAGTGATTTACAGTGGCAGTACTTTTGAAAAGTAACATTTGTAGCATATTTAAGTACCTCATAGCAATGTGCTCTGACGCACCATCCATAACATCCGCAGTGGCTTTGACAGCACTGAACGCTGCCTAATGTCTTTGTTTTGTTTGCGATCTGTAGCCGTGACTCTAGAAAAGATTTATAGAAAATAACCAGATGTGCCATTGCGTGGGGAAAAGGTATGTTGGGAGCACTTCAATTATACCGTACATGCAGATGGTGTATGCTCCATAAATAAATAAAATTCTTAAAACCAGGCCAGCTCTGGAAGGTGCATGGCATGGGTGACATGGCTCTTTCATCATCGGTCTCATTTTGATGCAGCCCCAAACCTTCGACACAAGCAAAGAGACCACGAAGCTCTCAGCTCTTTAATACATTCCCAGGGACAGGGGAAGCAGGCATGGTGTTCTGTCCCGGGCTTGCCCCATCGGAAAGTCTCCTGTCTCTTTGAAGACCCCTGATGTGTGGAGGATCAGACAGATATGTCTGCCAAAGTTAGCTGGTAATTAAAAACAGTTTTTTGCTGATACAATATCTGTAGGAACCTCTCAAACTGCCCTGTTTCTCTTCTCACCACCTTCCAGCAAAGGGATTATCTGCTAATTTTTTGATACATTTGAAGAAGCTAAATTTATTAAAGTGTCACCTAATAAGTTAACGAAGTATTTACATTATGTTGCTCCCTGGGGGACATATGAAAAAATATAAGGTAGGAAGTAGATAAAAGCCCAAAGTAAAAGATGATTAATGTGGAAAATAGAGGATTTGGATTACATGATCACAGTGTCTCTCTAGATCTTGTGGCAAATTATGGTTCCTAAGTCAAATGCTTTATCAGTCAAGAAGGAGAGAAAATGGAGGGGTAACTTGAGCTACTGTTGAATTTTGGGAAGACATTGGATGAGCAGAGGCGCATGGAGAAGACATTACCTGTGGGTTGGGTGAGACATCACATGAGATGAAGAAGGCTCCTGGGCTGCTTTTTTGAACCCTCATTGGAGTCTTGGATGAAACAAGAGATTCATATCAAAGGGAAGCTCACACATGATGGAAAGGTAGGCCAGGGTCACGTTTCACAGGGCCTTGAATGCCAAGCCAAGGGATTCTGACTTTTCTCGTGCATACCAACCAACTATTGAAGGTTTACAAGACAAAGAGAGGGGATGAACGTGCAGACTGAAGATGGGGGAGCAGGACAGATTGGAGAAGGAGGCTATTAGAAGTCTGGGAACAGAGTTACTCCAGGAAGGTGGGAAGGGAAAACCACAGGAATTGAAAAGGAAAATCCTGGATGATTCAGGTGCTAGTACAATATTTTTGGCAATATGCAGTTTTTGCATTTGTTGCCATGTTGGTCAGAATATTCAGTAACAGCTTTTGAACCAGTAATATGCAATTATTTTTTAATACATAAAGGATCTTGCAGTTGAGAACTACGATCTTCAGGGATGGGCCGTTATTTATTTCCAAGCCTTGGCCTGAGAAGTCATTGGGCAGTAAAAGAGTAGCTGTCATACGTGCCACACCTTGAACCGATATGATCTCCTTTTTTTCTAGATACATACCTACTTTCCCCAAAACTCTCTCTTGTCTACTATTCAGAGAAACCATTCTTTCTCGGTTTTCATTCTTCGTGTATCAGTTCACCATGGATAAGTACGATTAGCTCTGCAGCTATAGAAGAAGAATAGACAAGCGGGGGAGAAGGCTTATATAAAACTCATGTCAAAAATGAAATATCAGGGCTTAACAGCTATAAAAACGATTTTCACAGAATGCTTGGTAATCCCCTATGTAAGAAGCTATGGCTTTCAGTTTGATACTTGAAACTGTTTGCTAAGAGAAGGCCTTTTTTTCTTTGTGTAGTTTGAGTATCAGTCATTTTTTAATTTTGTTGTTGATAGGAGATAACAGAAATGTTGGTGGAGGATACTGTTTGCTGTCACGTAACTCAGCTTGCATAACATGAAAGCCATCTGTTGCCATTAGATGAGAGCGAACTTGAATTTGCTTTGCCGAATTCAGGCAGGAGTGGGTGTAGCAGTGGGAAGGGGTTATTTTTTACAGATAATTAATTTTGAACAAATATTTGAAGTATTAAGCTTAAAATTTAATTGTTTTAAATGTTTACCAAGATGGTGTAATAGGTAAAAGGACACTTCCTTCAGATTCAAGTAGTAACCATTCTGTATTCTTAAAGAAATGAATAGTTCTTCTTACTTGGCATTGAGACAGTGGAGTGACCTTTTTCTGTCATTCTCTAACAACTTCAGACATAAGTTTATAATTTCATTTCTAACATTTCTAATCATTTAACTGTAGACTGATGCCTGTCTAGTGCCTCATTTTTATCAACGAATGCACTCAGCCACGCATCATATTACGTATGGATTTTGTACCTAACTCAGGTCTTCATAAATGTTACATTTTGAGTCTATCGTCAATACTTCTTAAAACAAGCCATTTCTTCCCCTGGAGGTATATATACGCTTTGGTTAGCCACATGGTTCCGTGAGCTGACAAATTCAAAATGTGTTGTTCTCTTGAGTGTGTAGCTGTTGAGGGAAGGCAGAGTAAATTGATGCTCAGAAGCCCAGGAAATACAAGTGAGTCGTGAAGAGTTACCTGGCCCACTCACCCCAGTGAATCATGACCACCTTTCTCGGCTCCTCCTCTAGTGTCAGTACTAGGCAGCAACACTGCAGAGGGCAGGTCCAGCCTTTTCCTCATCCCTGTGTTCCCTGGAGCTCCTCGCCCAGGGCCCTGCTTTTCCCAGGTGTTCTGTGCGTGCATGGCAAATGAGCGGGTAAATGAACCACTCTCCGCACAGACGCTTGAGTCCAGATAACAAAGGAAGAATAAATCAGACATAAGAGGAGCCTTCTTGAAAATGCGTCGTCTGGAGTGTGAGCAAGATGAAATGCAGTATTTTCATAACACTGTGTCCCCGGCTGCTTCTCCAGCACTGATGATACACTAACGTGGCAGATGTTCTAGCCACCCGCTTCCCCTCTCTGTTGAACCCATCGCATCACTGCACCCTGCTTTGCCTCCTGTGAACACCGCGCTGTGTCCACGTACCAGTTCCATTACCCAGAGCCCCAGAGCACTGCCGTGTTCAGGATGCCCCAGCTTTCCTTGTATCTCAACGGACCTTCGTTTTCTCTGATTTCATCTCTCGGTGTGTAACATACTCCGTGTGTGTAACACATGCCGCAGGCAGTCTCGCACTGTTCTCCCTGAACTGGGTTCTTCTGCCAAATTTCACTCTGCGGGAATTTGTAAATTCATAATGATCATTGTAATACATAAATCGAAGCCAATCCCCACATGAATGTATTGTGGTTGAGTTGGTTCTTCTTAAATTGTGCAAATGTGCTTCTGTTTCTTACAAAATGCTGCTCTATGGCTCATATGTTAGTATGTCAAGGGGGGTGATGGTTTCACATAGAATCACGATACGGGGTCCTGGGAAATGATGAGGTTCAGGTTCAGGGTAAGAAGGATATTTGGGAAAAATAAAAATGCCCCCTGATGGGCTATATTTGCTTTCATAAAATCCCAGGTTTGGATACGCTTGCTGCAGAAAGGTGTGTATACATTCTGCGGGTGAGAATGCCTGAGAGTTCTGGCTGTGACATCTGACAGCTCATTGGTCACCTGCTCTGATGTTGTGGCTAAATGAGGGCCACCCTGACTACCATCAGACTGTTTAACACCTCATCATGTCTAGATAGAAGGCCTTAGAATAGAGTGAGTCTTTATTTAAGAAAGCAACTTTTCCCTGTTTTCATTTAATTGAGGAAAAGGCAGCATGAAATTCTTTTCAATTAGGCACATAGCTAAAAATAATGGGTCTCACTTTCACCTACGTCTTCCTTTCCCAGGCTTTTCAAAAGTGGAATTAAGTTGGTGTGGTGGCTGATAACCAGCAAGGACGCTCCTTCCCTGCAGGGCAGAGGGTTGCTTATCTCTGGAAACCACTTTACCTTTAAAGTCCTTGGTGAAAAAGGCGTTGAGTTGGTGTGGTTTGAGTATGTTTCAGGCTGTAAACCTGAAATGACCTATTAACAGGGCTCAGGGCTCATCTGGTTCCTATTCGTTCCAGTGCTGAACAAGGGAGCCAGAGTGTTCTGCTGAGGGCCTCAGAATAGCAGCCCTTTCCTGGCTCAGTGAACAGGTGGGTGTCCTGCCTTCTCCTCTCCCTGGTGGTACCTCCATCTCTCACTCAGTCAGCGGTCCTGAACATGAGCTCTGCCTCATCAGCGTCAACTTAATTGTGAAGAGCTCTTTAAAAAATATTTGGTTCCCTGATCTTAAAAATTGGGCTTCAGAACTGAGCACATATATGGCCTAAGGAATTTTGGACACCTGTAAGATTAATATTTTCAAATTATTCCAAAGATTTTAGGATTATACAAGTTGAATTGGTTAGATATTTTCCATAGTCACTGTGGATGGAGAGGAGGTATTTATTTGCGGGAAAATATAACCCCAGCTTGTTTTTAATATGGCCTGTAAATAAAAGTTGCACACAGAAGAGCAAAACCTACTGAGGAAATTTAAGAAGATAAAGTGAAAGAATAAGAACAAGTGTGATTCAGAGTTAGAACATTTGTTATTTCATCATTAACTCTTCATGGAACATCTACCTTGTGTAAGAGCCGGTGCAGGGGAAAAAACAAAAGCAGGCTCCCTTCTTTCTAACGGAATTGTATCTGGTGGGGAAAGTCAGGTGCTCACTCATATTTAATGCCAGATAGGGAAGCTAATAAGGGCCCCATGAGAGA